GGGCTGCAGGGCCTGGGTTAGCCTCTACATCACCAGAGGAACAGAGGAGGACTAGAATAAGGATACGGCTAAAGGCTTTAAGAACTGGTCTTCTAGTGCGTTGGGTACATAGAATAAAGGGGGCAGATTTCCGGGTGTTATAGAAAAGATTCAGGGCATTATGTACAGACAAGGATATGGAAGGATATGAGTAAAGTGGAGGTAAACCTGAGCGTTGGGTAACAATGAAAGAGATAGTATCTCTAGAGGCATAAATTGAGTCGGTCTGTGAGTGTATGGGGGGAGGGACAAAATAGCTATCTAAGGCAGGTTTAGCTAGGCTGGGGGGGTCTACAGTGATATAGTACAATTAGAAATAACCGAAACAACAATAAACTAACCATGTTTGGGCTGAGGCTAAACATAAACAGGATGTAGTACCGTAAAAAGGAACAGTCCAGCAGATATCAGCTGTATAGCTGAGTTATCATAAGGTCCGGTGGTGAAGTACTAGTGAGTAAGAGGCTACAGCTAGCGGGCCAGGGCTAGCAGATGGATGGAATCTTCGTGGTTAACGTCGTAACCACATCAGACTATTTCGTCGGCAGACCAGTCGTGTAGGATCGGCGGGGCTCCGTGTCAATACTAGGTGGTCCCGTCCGGTTGACAGAGAGGTAGATAGCCGGGAGATGGGCCTAGCTCAGGATAATTAGCCAGACCACAGCGTCCGTTTTGTTGTAGCTAGCTGGTAGCGACGAATCCGGAGTTAAAGGTCCAGTGATTCAGTGATTCCAGCGGAAAAACTGATATGTTCTGGGTCGATAACGCGCTGTGCAGACTGGCCGAATATCCGGTGATCAATGTCCAGTGATTAAAATTAATCCCGCAGAAAAAAATCCAATGTTCTGGGTGAAACACCGCTAGCTAAGGCTAATAGCAAGTAGCTAGTTAGCTGGCTAGCTGGCTAGCTAGTTTCACTGGAGATTCTAGATAAAAGGTAAGTCAATAATAGAATCCGTTCCACATTGAGTGAGGCGGGTTGCAGGAAAGTATATTTTGTAGAAGGATGAAAAGTCTGATAGGGAAATAGGTACGAAAAATACAAAAAAACAAGGTATTTACAGGCTATTTACAGACACACGACAAAAACAAGACTGCACTACTTCGCCATCTTGGAACTTCTAGTGTATGTAAAACTTCTGACCCACTGTGAATGTGATGAAAGTAATAAAAGCTGAAATAAATCATTCTCTCTACTATTATTCTGACATTTCACATTCTTAAAATAAAGTGATCATCCTAACTGACCTAAGACAGGGAATTATTACTAGGATTAAATGTCAGGAATTGTGAAAAACTGAGTTTAAATATTTGGTGTATGTAAACTTCCGACTTCAACTGTACATATAGTATAGGCTACAGTCAACAACAGAACAAACTTTCCAGTGACACCGACTCACCCAATGATGAAGATGAAGCGTAGGCTACTCACCAACGACTCGCTAATATCTCAAGATAAGCTACTTCGAAAAAACAGTGCTGTTCGCTCAGAATCGCTCAAAAGTTGTTGAGAAAAGAATTGTTAGCTTCTACAGACAGATTAGGCTTCTCTTTTCAGCAGTAGGCATTTGCTGTCCAACCGTTAGGCCTACGTTTTTCTCGCAATTGTATTTTGAAATTTGTGAAAGGCAAACTGACAGCCACAACCAACCATATAAATATAATCCATAGATGGCAGTTCCCATTCAAGTCAGGATTAGTGTACCCATTAGTTTTAACAGTCAAAGTGCCAGGGTTATAGGTTCCAAAATCCTTCTATGGATTATATCTTTGGCCACAACGTAACAAGCTGTGCTATATTTGGCGCGTGTGCTGCCCAAGTTGCGGCCATCCCGACTGTAATTGCGTGTGATAAAACTTAATCCACAGCTATTTTTTAGAAGCGATTGATCCTCTGTAGCTAAATTATGCTCTCTTGTCTGTTCAGAACAGGAGGAATATAATTTTTGGGAAAATACATTTCTCTGGACTTGAAACCCATTGAAAACCTGTGGTTTGAATGAAAGAGGCCATACCATAAGCTCAGACAAAGGATATCAAGGATCTGGAAGGATTCTGTATGGAGGAATGGTCTAAGATCCCTCCCAATGTGTTCTCCAACTCATAAAACATTTTAGAAAAAGGCTCAGTGCCATTGTCCTCTCAAGGTGAGGTAATGAAAGGTATTGAAAACAGGGGTGTCAATCATTTTGACCCCTAGCTTTTTGAGAAAAAAAAAAGACTTGTTAAACGAAATCTCTTTCTCTGAGCAATTGTATTAGTATAAAATAATATAATTTCCCTTTTCTTTTGCGTACAATATAGCTCAGTATTTGAATTATTTATTTTATACAGCCATTTTTTCTCATCTTTAACAAGAGAGTCAATAATTTCAGACCCCACTGTAAGTACAAGATTTAAAGTGTGACTGCTGGAGTAAGTCACATTAATTATTCACATTCATGAATATTAATGTGAATTTTTTAAATTACTTTATACTATGTAGGTACATGCAGTTACAGTGTGGGAGGAAAAAGTATTTGTCAGCCACCAATTGTGCAAGTTCTCCACTAAAAAGATGAGAGAGGCCCTGCAATCTCTAATTTTATTAGGTTACGTCAACTATGACAGACAAATGAGAAAAAAAATTCCAGAAAATCACATGTCAGGATGTTTTATGAATTATTTGCAAATTATGGTGGAAATAAGTATTTGGTCCACCTACAAACAAGCAAGATTTCTGGCTCTCACAGACCTGTAACTTCTTCTTAAGAGGCTCCTGTCCTCCACTCGTTACCTGTATTAATGGCACCGTGAACTTCATCATCAGTTAAAACACTTCACACCTCAAACAGTCACACTCCAAACTCCCTATGGCCAGACCAAGAGCTGTCAAGACCCGAACAAAATTGTAGACTGCCAGGCTGAAGACTGAATCTGCAATGGTAAGCAGCTTGGTTTGAGAAATCAACTGTGGGACAATTATTAGGAAATGGAAGAAACAAGACCACTAATAATCTCCCTCGATCTCGATCTCACCCCGTGGGGTCAAAATGATCACAAGAACGGTGAGCAAAAATCCCAGAACCACACGGGGGGACCTAGTGAATGACCTGCAGAGAGCTGGGACCAAAGTAAAAAAGCCTACCATCAGTAACACACTACGCCGCCAAGGACTCAAATCCTGCAGTGTCAGACGTGTCCCCCTGCTTAAGCCAGTACATGTCCAGGCCCGTCTGAAGTTTGCCTGAATCTGAATGATTCAGACGAGAATTGGGTGAAAGTGTTGTGGTCAGATGAGACCAAAATCGAGCTCTTTGGCATCAACTCAACTCGCCGTGTTTGGAGGAGGAGGAATGCTGCCTATGACCCCAAGAACACCATCCCCACCATCAAACATGGAGGTGGAAACATTATGCTTTGGGGGTGTTTTTCTGCTAAGGGGACAGGACAACTTCACCGCATCAAAGGGACGATGGACGGGGCCATATACCGTCAAATCTTGGGTGAGAACCTCCCTCCCTCAGCCAGGGCATTGAACATGGGTCGTGGATGGGTATTCCAGCATGACAATGACCCAAAACACACGGCCAAGGCAAGAAAGGAGTGGCTCAAGAAGAAGCACATTAAGGTCCTGGAGTGGCCTAGCCAGTCTCCAGACCTTAATCCCATAGAAAATCTGTGGAGGGAGCTGAAGGTTCGAGTTGCCAAACGTCAGGCTCAAAACCTTAATGACTTGGAGAAGATCTGCAAAAAGGAGTGGGACAAAATCCCTCCTGAGATGTGTGCAAACCTGGTGGCCAACTACAAGAAACATCTGACCTCTGTGATTGCCAACAAGGGTTTTGCCACCAAGTACTAAGTCATGTTTTGCAGAGGGGTCAAATACTTATTTCCCTCATTAAAATGCAAATACATTTATAACATTTTTGACATGCGTTTTTCTGGATTTTTTAGTTTTTATTCTGTCTCTCACTGTTCAAATAAACCTACCATTAAAATGATAGACTGATCATGTCTTTGTCAGTGGGCAAACATACAAAATCAGAAGGGGATCAAATACTTTTTCCCTCACTGTATATATATATACAGTGGTATATATATATACAGTGGGGAGAACAACGTATTTGACACACCTGACCGATTTGTGCAGGTTTCCCTCCTACCTTACAACAAGCATGTAGAGGTCTTAATTTTTTATCATAGGTACACTTCAACTGTGGCGAGGAACGGAATCTAAAACAAAAATCCAGAAAATCACATGTATGCTTTTTTACGTAATAATGTTTCATTTTATGCATGAACTAAGTTTGATCACTACCAACCAGTTAAGGAATTCCGGCTCTCAACAGACCTGTTAGTTTTTCTTTAGAAGCCCTACCTGTTCTCCAACTCATACAATGTTGACTTTCTGGATTTTTGTTTTAGATTCCAGTCGCTCCCCGTTGAAGTGTACCTCTGATAAAAAATTAACAGACCTCTACCATGCTTTGTAGTAGGAAACCCTGCAACATCGGCAGTGGTAACCAAATACTTACTTTGTTCTCCCCAACTGTATTATTATAGACACTACCGTCAAAAGTTTGGGGTCACTTAGAAATGTCCTTGTTTTCGAAAGAAAAGCAATTTTTTTGTCCATTAAAATGATCAGAAATACAGTGTAGACATTGTCAATTGTAGCTGCAAATGGCTGATTTTTTAAAGTAATTTAGCATACACTCTTATCCAGACCGACTTACAGGAGCAATTAGGGTTAAGTGCCTTGCTCAAGGGCACATCGACAGATTTTTCACCTAGTCGGCTCAGGTATTAGAACCAGCGACCTTTCGGTTACTGGTACAACGCTCTTAACCACTAAGCTAACTGCCTCCCCCAAGTGACCCAAAACTTTTGAAAGGTAGTGTATATATAATATAATTTGAGGTAAAATGACATGGAAGATCCCTTGTGTTGACAAGCATCTTATATTACAACCATTTTAGGGTCTTTGAAAGACAGGCACATTGAAAATGGAAGTGAGCTTTATGCCATATTTACACCCAAGGAGAACTTGAAACAAGCTCCCCAAATGCCACAACGAGAGATGACTGACATCTCAGGAGAGGAGAATGTTCGATGCCACATTATGCTCAAGGTGAATTCATCACATTATTGAAAAATACAAAGCTCAAAGTGGCAGGACTCATTTTATGTAGTTATTTATAGCTGTTTAGCTGTATTTAAAACTGTGATTATAACTCCTTACTTTTCTAAACCTGTATGTATTATGAAAGGGTGTAATACCAGAGGGGTATACTACGGCGCTGGCTAGATCTATTCAGGATTTTCTAAAGCTAGCTAGCTTCAGTTAGCTTCGCATTCCAATTTATGCTTCATGGATATCACAAAAGTGGATATTGATCTAACACCTGCTGCTAACTCAAACCAGGCTTGTAACTGCATGTGCATGTTTCATGTGCATTGCTTGCTGTTTGGGGTTTTAGGCTGGGTTTCTGTATAGCACTTTGTGACATCTGCTGATGTAAAAAGGGCTTTATAAATACATTTGATTGATTGATTGATGTGGATAGCCCAGCGAGTCGAACGCCCATAATTTCATACAATGCTCAAACAGAAACCCGTTGTCGAGCCAGTGCCACCTTTTTTGTTGTTGTTGGTCGAAATCAAAATGAAAGAAAGGCTGTCCTGCAAATTCAGGTTATAGTGGTAAGTAGGGTATTAGAAGTACCGTCTTGCTTTTATTATGGGTATTGTTAGTGCCGTCTTTGGTATGCTTATCCATGAACGAGCAGGCTGTTTTCCACGTCAATAAAATAATTGTATTAATACAGTCATACCAAAGTTTTACTTACTGTTTTTAACACAAAATAACATTAGTAAAATATTTAATCAGTCGTCTTCATCAAGTATTGTCTGTATGAAGGGAATTATATTATGGAATCTTTGCGAAAGGGAGGGAATCTGATTTGATTGGTCCTCAACTCAAGTCTCACACTTTATAAAGGATAAAGTGGAGTTAGCTTGCCACGGAGCAGGTTAGAGCTGAAAGATTTGTTGCCATAGAAATGTACCTAGCTAAAAGGTGAGCCTGCTTTGTGTCAATGGTTATCCAGAGTTGAAGAGTTCACCAAAGTTAGCTCGCTAACTCCTCTATCCCGCTACGTGGTATAACCCTCTGGTAGCAACTAAGGTGTCTCTGTAAATAATGTTTGTCAATTATTGAATATACTGTACTTTTCATCAACAGGGAGACTATGAGGTCAAGGTGGACTTAGCAAGTGACACAATTAGAGTCTTGAGACGAAAGCTCTCTAATGAAAGTGGAATCCCAGAACATGTCCTCCTTTATAAGTAATGTTGTGCATATATAATTATGATTTAATCATTTATGAATGCATTTAATAACAGAAAAAAATAGGTCAATTAATAAACCACACATCTTATAATTTGACCATCTATAGTTTCAATACAACCTTTTTCTAATATTGACCTTTTTGCAGAGGTGAACACGGTGAAACTTTGCAAGATTGTGGAATCAATGAGGAGACAACTGTTCACTTTTCTTTGTCCTCCTTCCCCGATGAAAAGCCAGACAACATGGAATTCTACTTCAATGATGTTGTACCCTCAGTGCAACAAACCCAGAAAGGACTCAGTGCTTTCTTTTCTTCACTATATACCATTGTGAGATATTCAGATATTTACATTGTATTGTTACAGTCATTTTGACCCTGACGTGGTAATCATTTATTAACACTTCAGATGTTTGTATTACCATGTTCAGGTAAAGAGTGCTACAGTGTTCCTTTGCTTGTGTTATTGGATTTTCAATGTACAGTACCTTCAATGTACAGCCCCATCCAGCCAACCCATCATGCATTAAATGATCTTCCCAAATATCCTTACAGAGTGTTAAACATTCTGGAGAGGGATTCAAGAAAGTGAATGCATACATTCGAAAGCTCAGTGGATGTAATCCCCTGGCGCAAAGTTTGTATCAGCTGTTGGGCAGAAATGAAAGTGGAAGTAGGACCCAGAAGGTGATGCATATTTTGTCACACAAATGTACTGTACACATACGATATCATGTAAGTCCACAAATAGATTCATAACATGTATTTGTTTTAGATTGCCATTGTTGAAGGATTGTACACTCTCTTCAGAGAGCTGTTGCCAAGCCGCAATAAAAAAAGAGGTGACAAGATCATTGAAGACCCTGATGTTTTTGAGAATGCACCAGTTTGCTGGGCCTACCTGATATCTAAAGCAGAGGTATACCCATTGTTTTTTGAGATACCATTGATAACACATTATGGATCTTATTGTATTACACGTTATAACATGTTTTTAATGGGGAACTGAGATACTGCACCTCTATTTGTTTGGCATTTAACATATAATTCAGAACAGGTACATGACTTCACAGGTCAGAATTAAACATTACTCAAACAAATTACCCTAATATGTATCTGTTTTCTATCTCCCTGTCTACCCTAGAAAGAGAGTTCACAACATGAAGTCTTTGCACCGATAAATTTGACCTCTCAACCAGGAGTGCGCTTTTGCGACCCAGTTCAAGTACCTGGATTACCAGATGTCTTTGAAAGAGAGTATGTCCTACAGAAAATTAAAGGTAAAACATCAGCAGTTGTGGGTATTTGTAATATGCACAGCACTGTGGGCACAATATATTTTCTGTAACATCTACATGTGGCACAATGGCCAATAGTACTGGCCTGAAATCCAGAACCTGTTTTGTGCTTACATGCCACAACCAGTACTCTGTGTGATGCCAAACATGTTCGGCATAACAAGGAGTGGCAAGGAGTGAAAGGATAGCTAAACAGACTGGTACTCAGGCTACAATAGTACCCTACTAATGGGAAACTGCTCTGCACTACTTGATTCTACAGTACATCAAAAGTGTATGTCAAATGCCATCATATCATATACCAAATTCCATAATGCAAGATCAATTGGCTCTAGAGTTTAAGCATTGGTTTTGAATCAATTGCTGTGACATGATTGGCTCACTGCAGCCATAATGTTAAACGTAGGAACGGGTTTGCTAAAACTTTGGCACGTTCCTTCAGAGTTAAGAATTACAGGGCTTTCTATAGAGTGTGTATTTTAATTCTTAGTCAAACCCAGAACTAATAGTCATCCACCTATGTTAATGATTGTTGAGATGTGTTAGTGTCTGCACTGGAAGAGCAGGTAATAATATCTTGTTTTTTGTAAACAGAAAAAAGTATCACTTTTGATATGTGAATTCAACTTTGACGTATACAGTAGTTTCATGATCAAATGTTGTAATTGCATGATGTGTTTTACCATTGCTAAGATGGAGAAAGAATCCCAAACTGCTCTGCTGAGATCTTGAGAGAAACTTCAATGTGGAGAGCTACCGATGTTGAAAAGATTTTACTCAGTCTGCCTCTATCCATCAAAACATTCCCTGTTTGGCTTTCATATGGACTTGTGACTGGTCAAAAGTATGATTTGTTCATTGTATCATTGAATACTGTATCTGCATTGATAGTGTAATTGGTAATTCATGTTTTATTGTTTAATCAAATTAAAGCTTTCAGATCAAACTAGATGAGACATTTGCCAAGATGACTGAAGAATTGAAAGCATACCCTCACCTGACAGTCACTCCACCACTGCAGTTGAAGAGTGTAGGAGTGGATGGGCCACGTCTCGTTCTTTTGAAAGAAGGTAGGCTACTTGGCCTTGTGCCTACTAGTTAAAGTCTTGGTACGATGTATCATTCATGTTTGAGATTATTATGTTCATGGAAAGTCCTATAACGTGGTGTTCGCTCATTGTTGCTTAGGCCTATACAAATGAATGTGCACAATTCATTCACATTGCAGCAGAATCATCGATGTCTTTGGTTCATCAGACAGCAAAATATGATACACTGCATTTACAGCTAGCACTTTCACATTCTGCATGAGTCAGTTTATGACATGCTTGTTATTGAAGCGTGTATTTTATTTATTTAATGGGAATATCAACTTTTTGTAGCATTTTAGTTTACAGTGCTGAAATAAGGGAAAGGAAAGGGGGATACCTAGTCAGTTGCACAGCTGAATGCATTCAATTGAAATGTGTCTTCTGCTTTTAACCAAACCCCTCTGAATCAGAGAGGTGCGGGAGGCTGCCTTAATCGACGTCCACGTCATCTGCGCCCAGGGAGTAGGCTCGTAATTTACATAATAATTAGTTAAGTATAGTCAATAACAACACGGTAAGGACTGGATAACTATGACCCAAAAGGTACATTGTGAGGTTGGCCCAAATACATTGTAAGTATGATGTAGTTCCTCAAACGATTCTGTTCAATACAAAAGTTCCAAGTGCATTCTTAATAAGTACGGTGCTGCTGAGAAGAGGTGAAATGGCCATAAATATTTATTACATAACTTGCACTTATTAGCCTCTATTATTTATAGTTTTTAAGTAACCAATCATTATTTCTACATAACAACCAGGAAAATTCATCACACTTTATATCTGTACTTAGCAGCTAAATACTAACTATGAATGGGTTATTACCACATTGTTACCTTGTTGTTGCCATCTTATTTCCCTGTTGTTTCCTCTTACTTCCCAGTCATTGCCCTATTATTTCAGCACTGTAAACTCAAGTGCTAACAAACTTTTTTGTGGGAATCATTGCGTTTGGTGTTTTGCTATTTTAAATGCTGGCCTATTGTTGTCCTTTGAGTGGTTAGCAGGATAAGTAATTGTTAGTGGTTTTACAGATAACCTGGGTGTTTACATTGAAAAATACAAAGCATCTCCTCAGGATTTCATTGTTTTTGATTGCTTAACTGGCAAACACAAAACTTTGAATGTGGACGAATTGGCACATGAGTAAGTACTTATAATATGAAAACTAGTCAAACATTCTGTTTGAAACTATATGAAGCTTCATAATTACTGGTGGACAGTTTATGAACATGGATCATATTGATAATGAGTTTAATTAATGGACGAAACTATAATCTCCATCATACCCCTTCATTACTTATTGTATGTTTTTAATTACTCTGTAGAATGAGAGACACCAGAAGTGACCAGACCTTCATGACCAGCAGGACTCCTAAAGAGGCAATATTGGTAATTTATGATAGATTATATTTGAATATACAGTACATTTGGTAAGTATTCAGACCCCCCCCCCCCCCCCTTCCACATTTTGTTATGTTACAGTCATTGTAAAATGGATTAAATCCACATTTTTCCCTCATAATGACAAAGTGAAAACAGGTTTTTTTGAAATTTTAGCAAATTTATTAAACATAAAAACAGTAATATTCAGATCCTTTGCTATGATACTCAGAATTGAGCTCAGGTGCATCCTGTTTCCATTGATCATCCTTGAGATACAACTTGATTGGAGTCCACCTGTGGTAAATTCAATTGATTGGACATGATTTGGAAAGGAACACACCTGTCTATAAAAGGTCCCACAGTTGGCAGTGCGTGTCAGAGCAAAAACCAAGCCATGAAGTTGAAGGAATTGTCCGTAGAGCTCCGAGACAGGATTGAGTTGAGGCACAGATCTGGGGAAGGGTACCCAAAAATGTCTGCAGCATTGAAGGTCCCCAAGAACACAGTGGCCTCTATCATTCTTAAATGGAAGAAGTTTGGAACCACCAAGACTCTTCCTAGAGCTGGCCGCCCGGCCAAACTGAGCAATCGGGGGAAAAGAGCCTTGGTCAGGGAGGTGACCAAGAACCCGATGGTCACTCTAACAGAGCTCCAGTGTTCCTCTGTGGAGATGGGATAACCTTCCAGAAGGACAAGCATCTCTGCAGCACTCCACCAATCAGGCCTTTATGGTAGAGTGGCCAGACGGAAGCCACTCCTCAGTAAAAGGCACATGACAGCCCGCTTGGAGTTTGCCAAAAGGTACCTAAAGGACTCTCAGACCATGAGAAACAAGATTCTCTTGTCTGATGAAAACAAGCATCATGCTGTGGGGATGTTTTTCTGTGGCAGGTACTGGGAGACTAGTCAGGATCGAGGGAAAGATGAACAGAGCAAAGTACAGAGAGATCCTTGATGAAAACCTGCTCCAGAGCGCTCAGGACCTCAAACTGGAGCGAAGGTTCACCTTCCAACAGGTCAACGACCCTAAGCACACAGCCAAGACAATGCAGGAGTAGCTTCAGGACAAGTCTCTGAATGTCCTTGAGTGGCCCAGCCAGAGCCCAGACTTGAACCCGATCGAACATCTCCGGAGAGACCTGAAAATAGCTGTGCAGCGACGCTCCCCATCCAACCTGACAGAGCTTGAGAGGATCTGCAGAGAAGAATGGGATAAACTCCCCAAATACAGGTGTGCCAAGCTTGTAGCGTCATACCTAAGAAGACTCGAGGCTGTAATCGCTGCCAAAGGTGCTTCAACAAAGTACTGAGTAAAGGGTCTGAATACTTATGTAAATGTCATATTTCTGTTTTTAATTTTAAAATTTCTAAAAACCTGTTTTGGATTTGTCATTATGGGGTATTGTGTTTAGATTGATGAGGAAAAAAAACAATTTAATCAATTTTAGAACAAGGCTGTAACGTAACAAAATGTGGAAAAAGTCAAGGGATCGGAATACTTTCCGAATGCACTGTATCTATTTATATTTCTGAATCTAAGTTCAGTTTTGACACTGCAAGTATGAGCCACTGCTATGGCTGAAATGATGAGATGTTGGCAAAGACCAAGGAGCAGCCCAAGGTATTCACCTTAGAATGATAAGTATGTTGGTGTAACAACATTATAACAGTTACGTTAGCTCCTCCTTTAATGTTTTCTCCATCCAACTATCTTTAGGTACTAGTGGATTCAAGCTCCTCCATGAACAAGACATGCTATGATTCAGATGACAAAATGACACGGTTGGATGCAGTCAAACAGCTGTTTGATAACTTCACAACTAGAAGCATGGCATACGATTTTCATCATGTCATTGGCTTGGTGAAGTTTGACTCATCAGCTAAAACTCTCCACACATTTACAGAGACTCTGGAGACCTTTAAAGTAAACATATTTTTCTCATAAAGTCTATTTTCTGAATGCAAAATAGTAAAGCAGTGCCATAAAATACAGACCTTGGTGTGCTGAGATCATATACTCGTACTCCCTTCATGGTATCATTCTTTACCCTTTTTCTTCAAGTGAGGTAAAATCTAATCTGGTATGTTATATCAGCTAACGTGACATCATATTACATGTAAAACAAAGAACATTGGTTATCCCCATTAGATGTTTGGGAGTAAACAGAGTGTGCGTCTTTCTTTTATTTATTTTTTACATCTAATTATATGTGAACAATTTTGGCACTTACAGGACCACATACACAATCTTAAGGCAAATGTAGGCACTGTGCTGTATGATGCCTTGAATCATGGCATTTCTGAACTGGAAAAAGTTGGAAAGCAATTTCCAGACTGCAGACTTCGCATCATATGTCTCACAGATGGGAATGATTTTGGGTAAAACATTGTTATTTATCTTGAGACTTTTTCAGTGTGCAAAACAGTGATTACAATCTGTTTGTGCATGGGATATCTATATTTTATATGTTTTGTTGTTTTACATGCAATGCAATAACATAAAGGATAGTGTTCCATTTGGGATTGTATTTATTAATCATTGTATTCATAGGTCAAAGACAAAACCACATGATGTCGCAACCAAATTGATGCGCTCTAACATTATTGTTGACGCCATCATTGTCGGAAACGGTTAATAACCGCGTGCTCCATGGAATCAGCAATGCAACAGGTATGATGTCTAAGGTGATGCATACACTGTTGTTCAGAGGAGCTAGCCAACAACACAGCTAACACAATCACTTCAAAGTGAAGCTGGAAAGACTGCAAACTAGCTGCACTAAGTTTTTTATGACCTTTTTTCAATTGACATTTCTTTGTATATATCCATAAAAATTATGCTGAGAGGAGCCTCCCGAGTGGCACATCGGTCTAAGGCACTGCATCGCAGTGCTTGAGGTGTCACTACAGACCCGGGTTCGATCCTAGGCTGTGTCACAACCGGCCGTGGCCGGGAGTCCCATAGGGTGGAGCACAATTGGCCCAGCGTCATCTGGGTTAGGGGATGGTTAGGCTGGGGGGGCTTTACTTGGCTCATCGCACTCTAGCGACTCCTTGTGGTGGGCCGGGCACCTGCAGGCTGACTTCGGTCATCAGTTTAACAGTGTTTCCTCTACAGTGTTTAACAGTGTTTCCTTCTGGGTTAAGTGGGCAGGGTGCTAAGGAACGCGGTTTGGCGGGTCATGTTTCGGAGGACGCATGACTCGACCTTCGCCTCTCCTGAGCCTGTTGGGGAGTTGCAGCGATGAGACAAGATCGTAATTGAAATTGGGAGAAAAAGGGGCTAAAAAAATTAAATCTAACAAATCTGCTGAGTCTGTCTGATCCCGACTCCCGACACGTTCATTACTATGGGCCAGCAGGAGATCAAATTTCAATGTTGCAAATGTCGGAGAGACAGACAGCAAGGTTTATACAAATCTCCGCTGTTGAAAACTTAATGTTAGTCTAAAAGAAATGTGAAATAATGGCTAGATGCTTTTTATAGTGGGGATCAAGTTTATAAATAGCTTGGATGGGCTGATGAGACAGTGGATTGCGGAGTCAGATGGAACAGAGTAAATAGGCATTTTAACGTCATAGCCAGTGGTAACTTGTGGAATAGACACTGGCTGGAATGCTGTTTTAACCAATCAGCATTCAGGATTAGACCCACTCGTTGTATAATCACTATTTGATTATGTTGGTAACCCATTGTATAAAAGTGATAATGCCCTCGAAGCCGGTGTTTGTTCGTCTCGGGACGAACAACACCCGTGCCAATATATCCTCCAAACACCAGCTTCCCTGGCATTATCACTTAATTATAAAGAGTTTAGAATTACTTTGTTTTTAAACTATGACTTAGTTTATAGTCAGCTTCTAAATCACTTGTTAAAGATTCTGGTCTAAATGATGTGATCGTCATTATGATGCATCCTTTTACAACCAGTGTTCATCTTTTTGAAAGCTTCAATTTCATTTGGATCAATTCAGAGGACACACCAGACTAGACTAGAGTCTATTGAAATTTGTTGTAGCCATCTGGTGTGTTTTTGGGGCTCAACATTTTTTCCTTCATAATTGCATCAAGTAATAGCATTGAGGCAACTAATTCTCCTTGGTCCATGTCTTGTAGGAGGGTGCTGTTTCAAACCAGCGACAGGTACAGCTGGTCTGAAGCTCTTTGAAATGGAAACAGTTCTATCTTTGGAGTTGAGGAAGCCTAAGGAAAAATTGGACCCATCCTCCATTATGAGCAAGGTAGGACCTACAAAGTCAAATCTATTCAAACAGTATACTAATGTTTGTTTCCATGTATTTTATAGGAAATAAGTTATAGGGACACTTCACCACTTCTTTACCCCAGCATCATACCAGTGTCTACATATGTGAAAATGCCGTGTTTATACGTTCTGTATAGATAAGAAGAAAAGGTCTTAATAAAATTACTCCAGAGGATTTTTAAAAACTAAACAGTGATTTTCAAAGACTACAAGTTTATCGGTGGCACAGCGAGCATGCAAACACCCTGCCTTTGGCTGGAAACGTATTGTCATTTTTGAAATCACAGTTATCTTTTTGACTACAGAACGTAGAAATGTGCCATACAATGGTATGGTGCAGGACATAATGATATATAAGGTTAAAAATAAATGGTGAAGTGTCCATTTATAAGTGAAATTATGAACACTGATATTAAACGGATTGTAACAAATAATGTTAATTTGTTATTCTTTCTTTACAGAGTGTTTTAACTACTCTCTTTGCCAAAAATGGCTATGATGAGCAGCCAGAGGTCTCTCAACCAAGTGAATTAAACAATAAAGTCACTGTGACAGAGATGTAAGTGATGTTCCATTACCAAAATGTCACATTGCATTCTGGGGTGATATCTGCATGTATCAGTACCTGTTCAAGCCCATTGTTTTTTGGCCCAGTCCCAAAGTATGGATTGTGGTCTCTCAATCACAAAAGGTCACAAAGCAAGTAATGTATATCACTTTGCAATTTAGGTAAACTACTGTAACTTTAACAAAATAAACATCTCCCAAAATAGTTCATTGAAAAAGAACATCAAGGAATCCAAGAGCAGTCGCTTTTTGGAGAAGGACAAACGCGTTCTGGAAGAGCTGAAGAGCCTGCATTGTGACCCACATCCATTCTGCACAGTTTTGCCATTAGAGTCAGACTTCAGTAAGTAAGCAGTATTGGGGTATTGTTTTTAGTGTTATTGATTTGATAACACTTGCTATGAATACACTTTTGCTTTATAATTACATTCTTAATGCTTTATATGCTTAGCATAATGCCTTATAATTCATGGCACAGCTGTTTATAGACATAACTGCCTATACATCTATAACTGAATTAATAAAGCATTATGAGCAGGTATAATAATTCCTTATGAAACAAAGTGGTTCAGTGGCACAATAAATAAAGTGTTATAAGTACGCCTATAATGCATAATGATGGGAATTCCTAGGAAGTGTTTCTAAGTAGTCACAACCCCAAGATATGGGTATGCTTACTTCACTCTAAAGTGGTAGGAACCCTGTTAGCATGCTCTCACAAACAATAATATTGTCGTTATATTGTCTCAAACATTTAATCCCTGTATCTCATTACATACCTTTTCAGCATTTTGGAAGATTCTCATGCAAGGCCCCCCTGATACACCTTATGAGAATGGAGCCTTTGAGCTGTACTGTCAGTTTGGTGCTGAGTACCCTGTCAAACCTCCACTTGTGCGCTTTGTCACACCTGTATCCTTTTACACAATTAATACATGAAGACAGTGTATTTTGTATACTGTGACTGCTTACTGCTGTTACAATGTATTTATTCTCATTACCCAGGACTTCTAGATTTTCAAAGGCGATGGTATTTACCTGGATGTAAAAGTAATTGTTTTGCTTCCACAACATCATAATTATCCCAACTCATGAGAAACAATAACATTGTCTAAATCGCAGCCGGGAAACATTTACACATTCTGATTTGCAAAACAACCTATATTTACATGCAAGTGCAAGAGGTTAAATTGAGGCAGGCTAGGGAGTGGTTAGGGTTAGGGTAAGGGATAAATTGAAGCATGCTAGCAAGTGATTAAGGGTTAGGGTAAGGTTCGGAAAATGAAAAATAACTCATAACAAAAACACGCCTGGATTTGAAATGCCGCCACTCTCTGAAGATCAGACTAAAATGGACCACAAATATATCTCTATTGTTATGTTTCCTGTTTGTTAAATGCTTTCATATTAACTGTTATGAAATTATCCTTAATAATGTGGACAAAGGTGTACCACTGCAACGTAAACAGTGTGGGCCGTATCTGCCACAACATATTTGACCGCAACTACTCGGCTCACATAACCATGAGAGAGATCTTGGATGCTGTGTATGGACTGCTCATTGTCCCTGAACCTGAAGATCCACTGGACAGGTTGACTTGAACAATTATTTGACACTATACAACAGTCATTCTAATTATTTTTATGTAATTTAAAATCCATCTTAGTTTCCAAATGGTATATTCTTAAGATTATATTGAATATGTTGAATTCATGTCTACATTAATATTATCTAAATTAAAATGTTTTGTAAAAGTATTTTGGCAGAGGAATTCCTGACCAGCAGAGAAAAATATGAACAAGAGGCCAGGAAAAACACGGAGGAAACTGCAGGCAAATCAATGGATGAAATGGAACAGGTGAATGCACATACAGTGGAGGAAAAAAGTATTTAGTCAGCCACCAATTGTGCATGTTCTCCCACTTAAAAAGATGAGAGAGGCCTGTAATTTCCATCATAGGTACACGTCAACTATGACAGACAAAATGAGAAAAAAAATCCAGAAAATCACATTGTAGGATTTTTAATGAATTTATTTGCAAATTATGGTGGAAAATAAGTATTTGGTCAATAACAAAAGTTTCTCAATACTTTGTTATATACCCTTTGTTGGCAATGACACAGGTCAAACGTTTTCTGTAAGTCTTCACAAGGTTTTCACACACTGTTGCTGGTATTTTGGCCCATTCCTCCATGCAGATCTCCTCTAGAGCAGTGATGTTTTGGTGCTGTCGCTGGGCAACACGGACTTTCAACTCCCTCCAAAGATTTTCTATGGGGTTGAGATCTGGAGACTGGCTAGGCCACTCCAGGACCTTGAAATGCTTCTTACGAAGCCACTCCTTCGTTGCCCGGGCAGTGTGTTTGGGATCATTGTCATGCTGAAAGACCCAGCCACGTTTAATCTTCAATGCCCTTGCTGATGGAAGGAGGTTTTCACTCAAAATCTCACGATACATGGCCCCATTCATTCTTTCCTTTACACGGATCAGTTGTCCTGGTCCCTTTGCAGAAAAACAGCCCCAAAGCATGATGTTTCCACCCCCATGCTTCACAGTAGGTATGGTGTTCTTTGGATGCAACTCAGCATTCTTTGTCCTCCAAACACGACGAGTTGAGTTTTTACCAAAAAGTTATATTTTGGTTTCATCTGACCATATGACATTCTCCCAATCCTCTTCTGGATCATCCAAATGCACTCTAGCAATCTTCAGACGGGCCTGGACATGTACTGGCTTAAGCAGGGGGACACGTCTGGCACTGCAGGATTTGAGTCCCTGGCGGCGTAGTGTGTTACTGATGGTAGGCTTTGTTACTTTGGTCCCAGCTCTCTGCAGGTCATTCACTAGGTCCCCCCGTGTGGTTCTGGGATTTTTGCTCACCATTCTTGTGATCATTTTGACCCCACGGGGTGAGATCTTGCGTGGAGCCCCAGATCGAGGGAGATTATCAGTGGTCTTGTATGTCTTCCATTTCCTAATAATTGCTCCCACAGTTGATTTCTTCAAACCAAGCTGCTTACCTATTGCAGTTTCAGTCTTCCCAGCCTGGTGCAGGTCTACAATTTTGTTTCTGGTGTCCTTTGACAGCTCTTTGGTCTTGGCCATAGTGGAGTTTGGAGTGTGACTGTTTGAGGTTGTGGACAGGTGTCTTTTATACTGATAACAAGTTCAAACAGGTGCCATTAATACAGGTAACGAGTGGAGGACAGAGGAGCCTCTTAAAGAAGAAGTTACAGGTCTGTGAGAGCCAGAAATCTTGCTTGTTTATAGGTGACCAAATACTTATTTTCCACCATAATTTGCAAATAAATTCATTAAAAATCCTACAATGTGATTTTATGGAGAAAAAAAATCTCAATTTGTCTGTCATAGTTGACGTGTACCTATGATGAAAATTACAGGCCTCTCTCATCTTTTTAAGTGGGAGAACATGCACAATTGGTGGCTGACTAAATACTTTTTTTCCCCACTGTAGTTCAGTGATTTTACATATTTAGATATGTTTCCTTACCTTAAAAGCAGTCTAGGGACAAAGAGTGTGTGATGAGGTGATGTCGAAGGAGTCAGGCGCAGGAGGGTAATTCACAGAATAACAGGCAACCACAGAGTTACGCAGTAACGCGTCTAAACAATCCAGTGCGCAAATCAGGCGCACTGGAACCAACAAGGCACACGGGGAAATATCCCGGCGATACAAAATACAAGGAGCTGCACCGAGCTTCACTATCCTCCACAATAAACAATCACACACAAAGACAAGGGGGCAGAGGGAACACTTATACAGGTACTGATGAGGGGATATGAACCAGGTGTGTGTAATAAACAAGACAAAACAAATGGAATGATGAGATGAGGAGCGGTAGTGGCTAGAAGGCCGGTGATGACGAACGCCGAAGCCTGCCTGAACAAGGAGAGGAGGCAGCTTCGGAGGAAGTCGTGACAGTACCCCCCCCCCCCCCCCCCCCCTTGAAGCGCAGCTCCAGCAGCGCGCCGACCCTGGCCTCGGGGACGGCCAGGAGGACGCGGAGCAGGGCGAGCCGGATGGCGACGGTGGAAATCCCGCAACAGGGAAGAATCGAGGATATCCCTCACCGGGACCCAGCACCGCTCCTCCGGACCGTACCCTCCCACTCCACGAGGTACTAAAGGCCCACCACCTGACGCCTCGAATCCAAGATGGAACAGACGGAGTACGCGGGGCCCCCTCGATGTCCAGAGGGGGCGGAGGGACCTCCCGCACCTTAGACTCCTGGAGCGGAACAGCCACCACCGGCCTGAGGAGAGACACATGGAACGAGGGGTTAATACGATAATCTGGTGGGAGTAATAACCTATAGGTAACCTCGTTTATTCTCCTCAGGACTTTGAACGGCCCCACAAACCACGGGCTCAGTTTCCGGCAGGGCAGGCGGAGGGGCAGATTCCGGGTTGAGAGCCAGACCCGATCACCCGGTACCAAGACCGGGGCCTTACTGCTGTGGCGGTCAGCGTTGGCCTTCTGACTACGCACGGCGCGCTGGAGGTGGACGTGAGTAGCGTTCCAAGTCTCCTCCGCGCGCCGAAACCAGTCATCCACTGCAGGAGCTTCGGTCTGGCTCTGTTGCCATGGTGCCAGAACCGGCTGATAACCTAATACACATTGAAAGGGCGATAGGTTAGTAGAGGAGTGGCGGAGAGAGTTCTGGGAATATTCTGCCCATGGCAAGAACACCGACCACTCCCCCGGCCGGTCCTGGCAGTAGGACCACAGGAACCTACCCACATCCTGATTCACCCGTTCCACCTGCCCATTACTCTAGGGGTGAAGCCCAGAGGTCAGGCTGACCGAGACCCCCAGACGTTCCATGAACGCCTTCCAGACCCTGGATGTAAACTGGGGACCCCGGTCAGACACTATGTCCTCTGGCACCCCGTAGTGCCGGAAGACGTGAGTAAACAGGGCCTCCGCAGTCTGCAGGGCCGTGGGGAGACCGGGCAGAGAAAGGAGGTGGCAGGCTTTTGAAAAGTGGTCCACAATGACCAGGATGGTGGTGTTACCTTGAGAGAGGGGAAGCTCAGTGAGAAAATCAATATACAGGTGGGACCATGGCCGTTGTGGAACTGGTAAGGGCTGTAACTTACCCGCTGGGAGGTGCCTAGGTGCCTTACTCTGGGCGCACACTGAGCAGGAGGAGACATACACCCTCACATCCTTAGCCAAGGTAGGCCACCAGTACTTTCCGGTCAGGCAGTGCACTGTACGACTGATACCTGGGTGACCAGAGGAGGGGGACGTGTGTGCCCAATAGATCAGACGGTCACGGACAAGAGACGGCACGTACTGCAGCCCAGCTGGACACTGAGGTGGAGATGGCGCTGTGCGTAACGCCCGCGTCCATCGCCCACACTACCGGCGCCACAATATAGGAGGCCGGGAGTATGGGGGTGTTGTCTATGGGCCTCTCCTCTGTGTCGTACAGCCGTGACAGTGCGTCTGCCTTCACGTTCTTCATACCCGGGATGTAAGATAGTGTAAAATCAAACCGGGTGAAGAATAGGGCCCACCTGGCCTGGCAAGGGTTCAGCCTCCTCGCTGCCCAGATGTACTCCAGGTTACGGTGGTCCGTCCAGACGAGGAAAGGGTGTTTCGCCCCCTCGAGCCAGTGCCTCCACACGGTCAGGGCTCTGACAACAGCCAACAGCTCCCAATCACCAACGTCGTAGTTCTGCTCTGCCGGGCTGAGCTTCTTGGAGAAGAAGGCACAGGGGCGGAGCTTGGGTGGCGTGCCCGAGCGTTGAGATAGGACAGCGCCTATCCCTACCTCCGACGCAACCACCTCCACTACGAACCGTAGTGATGGATCAGGATGGGCCAGTACCGGGTTACTGAAGGCCCTGTCAGCCTCAGCAGACCAGCGGAGCCGGGACGGCCCACCCTTCAACAGAGATATGATGGGAGCTGCAACCTTGCCAAAGCCCAGGATAAACCTCTGATAATAGTTGGCAAAGCCAATAAAGCGCTGCACCTCCTTGACCGTGGTTGGAGTCGGCCAATTACGCATGGCTGAAATGCGATCTCCCTCCATCTCCACACCTGAGGTGGTAATTTGGTCGCCTGCGTTTTGGAAAACGGTGGAGGTAGTGTCTGGACTTTCCACCGTATTTGCACCAATGGAAACACCTAGACACCTACCCTGACACTCTCGCAACCACCCCGTGAGAACCCTCTGCGGCCATGAAAAGGTGGGGTTATGTGGTGCTAACCAGGAAAGACCTAACACAACAGGAAAATCAGGAGCCTCAATAATAAAAAAGGTGACTTGCTCTATATGGGTCTCGTGCGTAACCATAGTGACTGGTGCTGTAACTTCCCTAATGAACCTGGACCCTAATGGTCGACTATCAAGTGCTCTGATGGGGAGTGGAATGGATAGGGGAACCAATGTAATGCCTAGACTATGTGCAACTGACCTGTCCATAAAGTTCACAGCTGCGCCTGAATCGACCAGCGCCTTACACTGGGGAACTACCGTGTAATCAGGAAACTCAATGTGTAGGGTACAGTTCGAAGCAGAGGGCTCTGAACGAGTGTGGGTGTTCGATACCTG